TTATCCAATATCCAATGCCCTTAATGAAGTCAACATGATGTAGATAGGTCTGCAATTATAACTAAATTAGTACTATTTGTTATAACTGTGGTTATATATTTAGTATATTTAAAATATGATACTAACTTTGGTAACATAACAGGGAACTGTAGAGATGATATGCACAATTATCAATGCCAACACATAAAATATACAGGGGTGGGCCAATAATTCCATAGCCTGATATGATTGATTAATTAGCTGAATTTTGATCTGAAATTTTAGTGCACAATGTTCAATGTATGGGGATGAGTCAAAAAGTAATGCTATTTGTTTAAGAAAAAGAAACACAAACATATCGTACATCAAGATCTTGCTATACATCACAGGTTCACATCTCTACTTATCAACATAGTCACCGCCTCTTTCAATGGCAGTGTTTCACCTATGAATGAGAACATGTATCCCAGCTTTGTGAATCTCAACTGGCTGCTGATGTAGCCAATTTCTTATAGCAGTTTTCACTTATTAATCACCATTAATTAATCACCACTTGACTTAGCACTCTCAGATTTGGGTTTTGTGAAAGAGGAACTTTGTGTAAAAATCTCTTGCTAATTTGATATTTTTATCAAAAGTTATCAAATCTTAAATTCTTTCTTTGGTCTACTTACTCAAATTGTATTGGTCAAAATTCAGAATATGTACATATTTTATGAATGGTGGAAAAAAATTGTTCATATGTGGCTCCTTAGCTGATGCTGGTAAGGAAAGCAATTAGGTGTAAGGGTGCTGTTAGTAGGGCCAGAAGTTGACCAAAGTTAGCTGAGTCCACAGTTAGGGTCAATGGATAAGTTTGAAGTGGATTAGCTGTTGGTGGGATTTGATATGCACTTTTCTTTAAAGTTGAAATTGACACCTGTGCTGGGTAAGTTGGGTTGGTCACTTGAAGTTATGGTGGCGGGTTGATTTGTGGTATGGCATGTTAGTTGCCAAAGTTACGGTGATGGCACAAAAGGGATTAGAAATAGATAGTGAACATTGATCAAGTGGGATGTCTCTATTGGATTCTGATCAAATAGGGTATCAATGAGACTGGGTTGGTCAATTAAGCGGAATCTCTCTAATGGATTCTGGTCAAATGTTGTTCAGAGTCACGGTGGTGATGGTGAGGGAGGCCTGGAGTAAATAATTAGGGATAGTGATGGTGAGTGGCAATCATGGCAGCAGCAGCATGTCTGTGTGCCTACAGGTGGCCTTCCAGCCCATTATTCCTTTTAAGCAAATCTGGTAGTCTCCAGGGTCCTCTTTTTTTTCCAGTGGGAACATTTGTGTTTGGCTATTGTATTAATTTTATTGTGCGGATTTGTTTTGTGGACCAGATGTTATTTTTGAAGTTAATGCGCAGAAAACAACTTTTTATTTTGTGTTTTGCTTTCTTGACACTCACATCTGGCCGACATATTTAGAGTGAATCAGAAAGTGATCTAATTGCAGCAGAGAATAGCAACATGTAAAAATGGATTGAAATTATTTATGTTTCTCTATTTTTACATTCAAGATTTATTGCTAAATTTAATGAATGCTTTCTAATCCAAAGTTTGTGAAACTTTCACATATATGTGGTTCATTATTTTAATATTTACATGAATTTTTAAATTGTTTTTAATGTCCTGAGTATTGTTTCATATTGATTTGCTTTCTAGAGATCATGGAATTCATGGAAAGGATATTACGCCATTTATATTACGACGTGTTGCAGAACTTACTGAGGGAGCCTCTTTGGAGTCAAGTATCCTTTATCTGTGGTTAGTAATTAGAAATTTTTTTTTCAAATAAGCATTCCTGTTTAACCAGAGAAATTCAACAATTACAAATTTTATCTAACTGCATTCACTCTCATAATACATTATTATTCTGGTTGATGCCAAAATGATCTTGGAGAGAAGCAGGTTGGAGAACACTCACAGTAAAGTCCTGCCAAAATTGTAATCATAAAACCTTCCCTTTTGTAAATTGTACAACTGTTGGTCTAAAAATGATGCCTCTTATTTTATGTTGGCCTACAACATCAGAAGCAGATATTAGTGGTATGCCAGTATGGAGTGAGCCTTCTTACCAATAACCCATAATTTTTTGCCTTGTTACAGAAAGACACTGAAGAACAGTCTGGCAAAATGGTAACTACAAAGTAATTGGTGTATCATTAAATTTGTCAATGCATGAAAAATTGCATCCATTGACATTGATGCTTGTTGAACATTTATGAAGAGCAAACAGTGAATGTAAGCACAGTTAATTGAAATCCAGAAGGTGGCTCCAAACTTTTGACTGATTTTGTGTGTGTGTGTGTATATATATATATATATATATATATAATTATTTTTTAAAAAATATGATTCCTTCGCTACATAAGTTCTCATGTTTCAAAAACGAGAGCCGAAACCCCCAATATAATTATTAAAATTAAATTGAATTAAAGTAACAAGCCCTGTTTCATCCTCAAGCGAAAGTTTAGGAATAACCAATCTTGAAATTTACGCATCTTTATAAGTATGTTCATTCATTACTATGGAAATGGCTGGTGTGACCATTTTTGATAAGGGGCCTAAGAGTTAATTTTTATCCACATATCAGTCACCTTCAGGAAGAGGTCAAGCTGAGGTAGGGTGATGTGTCTATTTCAAAGCGAATGATGGCATTCATGTACGCACATCGTCTGGTCAGTCACAGAGAAAGATAGATTTTGGCTCCATGGTATGTTGCTAAATGTCTGGAGAATTTTATTTTATTTTATTTATTTATTTATTTTACAAAGGGCTGTTTTATATATAAACGCGTCGCACTGAACTACAGTTTGTTTTTTTGACGACTTCATAAAGGGTTTTTCTATTTAATGATTGGGTTAAGCTTTTAAGCCCTTTATTAAACTATGAAATTTGATTTTTTTTTTTTTTTTTTTTTTTTTTTAATGCAAAAATTTGTTGGTGTTGGCAAAAACTGTTAACTCATGTCTATGGTTTAATAAATTTTCATTATTTAGAAACTTAATTATGTGTAGTTTTTCATGTAGGCATAAAAGGCATGGGTCATCCCAGGTTTTGTCAGCCACAGACAGACTGTTTCACTGTATCACAGCTCATCAATGTGGCTAGATGTCTGGGTGCCTCTAGTTAGGATCGAAACCTGGCTGAATTGGCGTCAGAGGTTCTACGGCAGGGATGAAGGTGAATTGAAGTGTATTTATTTTTGGATAAACACACAGTGATTGAGAGGACTCGATTCATTTTACCAAAGAGTTTTGCATTATTAGCCATAATAGTCACTGTTTACAAACTCACACTTCCTCCCCAGAGAGCTCAACTGAAATAAATTTTTCAGGAGCATATATATTGTCATCCACAGACAGACTGTGTTGCTGTATCACAGCTCATCAGTGTGGCTAGACGTCCGTAATACCCCACAGCAAATATGATAAAATCTATATTGATGAAACCAATGAAGTTTAAAAAATGTATCAACGAACACAAAAGAGTTATAAAAATCCAGTATACATTATTCTGTCTTACATATTTTGTTCAGGTATTCCATATCAGTCATATATTGTTTGTATTTTGTTGGGTGTAGGTGGTGGCAGAGCTCTACTAAAACTTCAATACCAATGGGAAGCAACTCATGGTCCCTTATATGTTCATACATTCTGTATTCTTTTTTTTTTTAAGCATGATTATAAGCAAAAGCTGTTTCAGTATAATATTTGTAGGACAATGTACAAGTTGACAGTTTTAATAAAAATTTCTCTATTATGATTAATAAAGTCAATGAGTCTCTCATTGAAACCAACTGTCCAAACTTTAGTATTTTCAATAATTTGGCACAATTGCATCAGGTTTAGTTAAACAATCAAAAATCTTATAAAGTCTCGATCCAGTTGACATAAGTGATTTCTTTTTTTTTAACATCTGTTTATTATTTGCAGTGACAACTTTTGAATTTTTTTTGTTCAATGATTTATTGTCAGTAAAGTATATGATGAGAATGTTCATTTTCTTTGTTTTATTAAAGAACAGTTCATTCAATTAATGTTCAAGGTAGAATGACGTATTAAGGCTTTCAACTAATGTACTGTATGCTAATCTATATTTTCTTGGATTTCCATGTTAAATTTTTCATGTTTCTAAATATCTCCAATAAGCTATATGATATATCCTCCAACAAAGGAAACTCTTTCAATTGGTAGAAAGCACTACACTCCTCATCCTAAATCAGAGACATCACCAAGTTTAGAAAAAAAATGTCACATGGTTTACTTTTTAGATTAGTAACAAGTTTGGAATTTTTTTTTTTTTTTTTATAGACATGCATAATTACAAAATTTCATAACGGACGTTTTTCAATAGCTACCCAATTAATTTCATATAGTAGGATATGGTATAGTGTGTTTTATTTTGGGTTCAAATCTTTTTCTTGATGCACAAGATGCCTAATTCAACTATATTCCATGTTATCAACATAAAAAGTTTTTTCTATAACTTTTCCAAATAATTTTGTTCTGGCCCATATGAAGTCATCAATATGCATCAGAAAAAGCCCAGATTGTGATGCCAACAGAACAATGCTGGATCTATTTCAAACTGTTTGCATCCAAGTTTATTTAATTTTTTGCAGAATTGATAACTTCAATTATACTTTTTATCTTTGTTTTGATTAAAAGACAAAAAATGAAATATAAAATGTTTAAGAGATTTTATCAAAGTTTTGTTTTTCTTTCTTCTGTAATACCTCTGTGTCGTCCCTTATCAGCAGCAACTAAAATATGTACCCCTGTCAGCAGCCCTAAACAGTGGTGGTAACCAATTATGCCACCCTCAGTCATTGGTCCTCAAGTTACTTCAGACTGCCATTGTTACCATTTAGCTGACTCTTCACTTGTTAGTGCGTGACTCGGATTTGTCGCTGGTATCGTGTTGGTGGTATGGATCCACTCAACTTAGCTGCCATTTGTCTGTTCACGACCATTCACTCCTCTGCTATGTTGTGTTTTTGATCTCAGAGGGTGAGAAGAGCATTGATGAAGCAAACTTGGAGTGAAGATGGTTTTTCATTTGGAAGCGGCACAAAAAAAAACCAAGAATCTTTTGGAATAAAGAATTAACTTGAGTTAAAAATGTAACAAATTTAGTTTATATATGATTTATTGTATACAGCTGTTTTAACCCTTCCCACTTGTTGTTATAATCAAATGAAACTGGGATCCCCTTTTAGAATTTTCAGCTTGTGTTAGTAGTAATTTAAATTTCTAAGTTCTGATCTTTATGTTCGGTACAAGGACAGGAGGTCTTGGTGAACAATGCAGATTCTGGAATGTCCTTCTCTGTCTCTCTTCTTGTGTCTCGTGTTCTTATGTTCTCTTCACTGTTTTTTAAGTCCAAAATCTCCAGCTTATATAGAGTCCTGCATCTGAAAGGGGTGAGGTATTGACTTTTTCTAAATTTACATATATACAAATACATTTACTCAACTGGTTTTCCAAATTTAGGGTTATCCAGTCTCCTTTTGAGAGTGGTCAGAGGGGATCAAGCTACACTTTAACTTTACACTTCACCTCGTACCATCACTTTATATATGTGGTACTATAATATATATATATATACATATATATATCAGCAGCCAACATCAGATTGGCTTCCTGACTGGAGTGATAAATCCAACTTAATTGAAGTGAAGACAAAAGGGATTTTCAGTTATTAGTCCTTATCTATCAGCTTGCCCTATGCTGGGATCCTCACAATCAAGAATTGGAAAAAGAAAAATCTATTTCCACTCTCCTTAAAACAAAAGTTTATCTTTTCTCTGTCTTATGCGGGTTTTTTTTACACTTAAATAGACCACACAGCCCTCTTGTCTATGGTCACTTCAGAATAGTAATTAATTTCTTCTTACCATTTGTATCCAAGAGGATCTGAATTAATTTTTGGATATAAGATTTTCTCTGGTCAAATGTTGCTGAAATTATAATGATGAATGCGTGGGGATTCTTTTCTTCTTGGTGGTTGATTTGAAACAGATGTTGTTTCCTTTTTTTTTTTTTTTTTGTCCAGGGCAATCATGAATGTCATTTTGCTGACCACTCTATTGATAACATATGTTTTTATATTATCTGATATCTTTGTAGATACCTTAATGGTCTCTTTCTCATTGATGGGAGATAGGGAAGGATGGGTAGTCATTTTAAATTCTTACTGAATTTCATTTAGTTAAATTTGGGTTTGATTCTTCTTGGAATTTTTTAAAATTTTCTTCTCAACTTTTCAACAATTATCATCCAATTAGTAGACTCTCTCCTATTCTTTCTTTCTCTTTTTGTTTGATCAACCTCTGGTGATCCCGGTGTCACACTACAATCCAAGTAATGTAAATGAAGGTTATTTCTAAAGCAATACATTTCGTTTGCTACTATAGAAAAAATATCTCTGAAACTATGCTCCTCTCAGAAATTGCTGCCAGTTTTATATATTTTTGAAGAGGTCTCCTAATTCTTCCATTTAAAAGAAAGCAACACCTACATTCATAGATATTTTTTTGTTATTCTGTCCACCTTCTGAATATATTTTATTAAAGTAGATTTATGAAACAAAGTGTTCTATTATGCAGAATATTTATTTTCTTGACTCTATTTTTTTGATGTTGCTTTGATATTAAACAATGCAAAGGTTGGCAGTCAAATTGCTTTTGAACTCAGTAAATTGCAGCAATCCTCAAGGGAGACCACTCATGCTGTGAGTTGTGTGAAACCAAAGGAAAAAGCAGTAAGTAATCTTATTTCTTAACATTTTAAGAGGAAAAAAGAAACATGCTCAGAAATGGGGCCATGTTTCTTAGAATCAGTGAAGTAGTATATGGCACTAATACAAATATAGGGTTACTTGTTGAGATTTTGTTACAAAGTGTTTTAATCTCCACCCTTGATAGTCCAAAAGCATTTCCAAGCCCTTGTGGGTGACAAATTATTCTTCACCATCAAAACTGTTTCTCGCTGCTCTGTTGCTACTTCGACAGGAAGTGCTTGGATAAACCACCAGTTCAAACCTTCACAACAAGAACATGCCATGCCTCTTACATAGTAGTGAACTACCCATATTCCTTCCATATTCCATCACTGAGAAGGAAGTTCTACTTGAAAAGCTTCTTTCCACAAACCACTGATCTGTGGAAGCAACTCCCAAGAGGATGTTTCCCCAATCACTACAATTTTAACCTTTTTAAGGCTAAGGTTAACCATTATCTTCCCCTCCTATCCACATAATTTTGTAGTATAAGTCACAAATTCACTGAAGCAGACTGCCACAAGAACATGTAGTATGTGATTCATGCCAGGAAATACCAAAGTTCTGAATTAAATTTAATGTACATCAGGAACTTTTAGACTAAGACAAGTTGATCTGTGGTAACCCCAATATTTACTGGATTCACCTTTAAGAGATACTAAAGTAAATTTTGTACTCTGTGTCAATTCATGATCTCAAAAGAGCTAGCTGCCTCAAGGTTTAACTTAGAAGTTGACCTTTTAGCCACCAATTACAGAATCAGGCCTCAACAGATGTTGGTGGGTGTGCTAATCAAGAAGTGAACCCAATTGAACTTAGGATAGGCACACAAAAGACAACCAGGTGAAGTTATATAAAAGTCTAGCCCTTGAAGGAGAAAGCTGAATCAGTTAAAATTTATAAAATCTTTCTCTTAAAACACTTTTTTCAGGAAAATAGTTTTCTAAAGTTCAGTAGTTGTTATCACTCTTTCCAGTATTGATGGGATTTTCCTCCCTAACCTTTGGTTTGAAGTAGTGTGGACATGTCAACATCTTGATTATATTAATATTTTCTCTTCAAGTTATATTTAGCTATTGCTAGTCTTCAAGTGATGTTGTTTCTGTTTTCTGTTATAGTTCTTCCTTTTTGATTTTGTAGTGCTAGTCCACAAGATTCAAAGAAGGATGATCCCCTTTATGATTCACATTTATTTGTTCAAAGCTATATTTAATTAATCATTTGAGGAAGCAGTTGTATATACTTAAGTTTGAACAGGTTGGGCACTATATATAACACCCCTATCAAAGTCTTGATCTAACGTGGCTATTTAAGAACATGACTAGAGTTCTTAGGTTAATTCCATTTAACTCTATAATACAGAAAACCCATGAAATGCCAAGTGACCACATTTCTAGAATTTATTTTTAATTAAATATGGGTTGCATGATGATATTTAAGAAGAATGTGCCAGTTGACTAGCAATGTCACTTCTATTTACTACAATCATCAATAAAGGAGATTATCATCAGAGAAAACTTATGTTTATTTTTATGCAGACAATTTTACTCTTATGTAATTTTTATTGCACACTTACTCATACTGAGTTATCAGGTTACTCACCAGCATTTGCTACACTAACCATCTATTTTGATATTTCCAGGTTGAGAGCAAATAATGATTTTTTCTTCTTACTAATCACATAACTGATACTATTCATTGGCCAGATTTTTTCCTGAGTCAAAGGTACTTATTTTAGAGTGATACTTAAATTAATCTCAAATAACTTTTCAATTGAATATTTGTTGTAGTGTCTTTCCTCTAATGAGTCTATTATGGACTCTTCCACTTACTATAAAGTAGTAGGTAATGTGTAAGCCTCGGGGGAATGGTGATATAGATTGAACACTGGTCAATCGAGACATACTCCCAAGTTATGTAACACACTTTTGTTGTATTTACTGTTCAATACACTATTTATTTGCAACCTCTTGTTTTGTTATTTCTTAACCAATTACTTGGTCACAACATCTTGGTGACGAGGATTTGAAGAAACAAACTTCGTGTTTGAAACTTCATAAAAAAATTTGTTGCACAACAATACTGAGTTCAATCCTCACTTACTTCTCTACTATTGTGACCATGTGCTAGACTAAAGAAAAATTAATATACATCTCTCTATCAGTCACTGATCACTTGGTTTATGATATATCTATAGTAACCTGTGTCCAGATTACAAGCCCCCCCCAACTTTTTTTCAAGAATTTGAATTCATTTAGCTGATGGTTCAGAATTAAATATATATAGGTATATCAATAAATCTGTAGTCTAATGATGAAAAAAGACACTTATCTTGTACAGAGTTTTATTTTTCAATATGAATCCCTTCCTTGTCAATGTACTTAATTCAGTGGTAAATATTACATAGATTGAATATCATACAAGAAAAATTTTGACTAGATTTCTGCTGTCAGGTTATTTGACTTACTGATCTACTCTCATAAACATTATGGCTTCCATTAATTCTGTATTTTCCTTTATATTATGAGCAATACCTAAAATCTTTTGCTATTACTATTTCTTTGAAAAATCTATTCTTAAAAATGTTCTTGTCTTCCAAACCCCACTTCAAAACAGACTATTATATATTTTAAATGCCTTGTAAACTTTTAAAATATTGAAACTTGTCTTTATTAGATATGTTACATATCTATTCATTTACTATAATTTTTTTGTTCTCATTTCTGCTTCTTCAGTTTTCTTGTAATTAAACTATCACCATTATAAATTATCCATTCTGGCTTGCATTCTCTACACGAATAATAGTTATCTCCATGTTCTGTACATAAGTTAATTCGTACATTTGGCATTCATCTTCTGAAAACTGGTGGCAAATAGGTTTATGTGTTTATATTGTTATAATATCCAACTTCTTACTTCTGCTTTTATTAGCTTGGGCCACAAAAGGTTTGAGAGACAGAAGAAAATAATGCATAACCTACCTAGTAAGTAAATGGATAGCAGAACAAAGTTTAGGAGAGATAGCAAAAAGAAAAAATTTATTAAGAGCTACAAAGGACAAGCAATTATGGAAAGCTGTGATCACCAACGTCCTGAATGGGCATGATGCATATAAAACATAGTAGTCCCAAAACTAATCACTTGTAGATACAATTCTAAATGTACATTATGATGCCATAAACTCGTAATTGCTATAAACAGTTTTGTAGAACAATTCTCAAGATTTTTTTTTTTTTTTTTTTACAGATTGTAATTGGTGGTACCATCCTTGATTTCTACATAAGATTAGAAAATGAATACAAGGTGGGTATGAGATTAGGATAAATAATGTAATTGAGACTTAACTGTTATTTTCAGTATATTGTAATTTGTTGAAGTATTTGCTACATTAATAACTTTTTTTGTTATACTTATAATTTTGTCGCCATTGGTTTACCACAAATAATACAGTGTCAGTAAGTCTTTCCCTAAATTATCAAGAAAAAATGTAGACTTTGTTTCTTTTTCATGATTTTTTTTAATATAATGCAAATTTTAAAAAAATTACTGTCATGGAAATTGAGTTGGATAATTCTGTCAGTAATATTTAAAAAAAAAAAAACTAGTGTTAAAACTTTATTCATTTTTTTCTTTTCTTTTTATTTTTAATAGTTTTCCATTTTATTTTTGTAGCATTGTTATTGCAATACTCAAAATGATTTATGTTCTATAGCTTTTAATTCTTAATATCCTATACAGCTCAGTTCCATACAGCATTGCTTTGGTCAGCCAGTCTTGAAACACATGATAGATAGTTCACAAGTCAAACTAACCTTGTTTAAAGGGAGTGAAGGCCTTAATGTGAGGGAGAAAACTCTAATCCAATCCTTGATGTTTCATTTATGCATTCAATATCATTTTTAAATTTTCAACATAATGTGCAGAATTAAACAAGCAGAAGTGATCAAAAATAAAGAATTGACTTTTGCTGAGATTGAACACGCATTCCCTATCCTTTGGCACTCATCCGGACAAGAAACCTCTTGTTGATTAACCTACAAAAACTAAACAGCAGACCTCATTCAAAATTTCGCCATATACCCAGTCTTCGTTTTTTTTATTTTTATTTCACACAATATTGTTTACCTCTACGAATTGTTGTTAGTAGTTAGAATAATCTTAATGTTAGAATAATCTTAAGTTGTCCAACATAAAAAGTTACAAAGCAAATTAATAACAATGCCTAATCTAAGAAAAAAAATTGCAATAGTGATAATAATCTAAATAATACAAACATTAAAATATATGAGAAAGGATTAATATGAAATCTACCCAAACAAAGTATGTAAGATGGAATATGTGAAAACCTTTGCTGCCTCAGAAAGCACCTGACTCTTCCTGTCATGCTCTAACTTTACAAGAGCAAGATCAGACCAAAAATAGAGTATGGCTGATACATCTGGACTGATACTTTTCAGTCCTCACTTTCCAGCTTCAACAGAGTTCAAAACCATTTATGCAGCCTTGTCAGTGATGAATTGTTTTCCACTCCTACAACCCCTTTTCCCACAGATGAAACATTACTAGCCTTCCACTACCTTATCTCTATTTTCATGGTAGATGTTTGAATGAAATACATTCCTTGGTTCCACCAGCTCAGGCCTTCACAGCTAGGACCTGCCATACCACATCCACTGAGTTGGCTCATCCTCATTCTCTTCATGTTCTTTTGGTGAAGAGGAATTTCTACTCAGACAGCTTCTTCCCCAGAACTGTTGTATTGTGGAACAAACTCCCAAGAAGATGCTTCCTTGATCATTACAATCTTAACCACTTCAAGTCAAGGATCAAACATTATTCTACATATCTTCATAAGAGTCACCTCTTGAAACCGTATATGCCCTTACAATAACCTCATTTAGTAATTCTCTACCTTGAGTGGCTTTTGGCAATACAATGTTGCATGAACAATAGTTTAAAAAACAGTTGGATGTTTAATTTTTTTTTTCTTATTAATGTTTCACTTTAAATAAGAATTCTCAAAACAATTGAAAAAATCCAAGGAAAAACTGTTACCATGGTAACTATAATACTCAAAAATGTTGTGGTTAATTTGAAAAATCTTATTAATAAAATTTTAAAATAAATATCAGTTGTAGCATATCTACGGATGATAATGGGTATGTCCCCATTCACATAAATACAGTAATAAATACTGTATGTTGGTCTGCAGTTGGAGATTTGTCTCCAGCTGTGTTGGTCAAACTCTCTGCCTCTGGGCAGAGAGGATCCCCAGACAAGATTATGTCAAAGGACAGAGTCTCGTCTTGGAAAACAGCTATCCTACTTCATTTTATACAGGGAATTTTTGGCCAAGCCTATGAGCTCGGATACCCCACATTAAATTTGGCTTTGTGCCACATCTGATCACATGGAGTGGTTGGTATATATCCTGCAGTTGGAGATTCATTGTGGAATTCACTTGACTCACTTCTAACAGTTGACTACTTCTTCTATGTGCCGCTGGCAAATCTTATATGTGTTGTTCTTGTTCTAAGTATTATCTTTCATTACCAACCTTCATTTGATTATTCTATTCAGCAACCTTCCCTAGGTTACAACTATATCCATGAACAAATGAATGATATTTTTACACAGGAAATATATTAAAATGTAAATATGGTGATTTGATATAAGAAAATAAAATAAAATGAAATTCTGGTGAGAAAAATAAAGTGTGCATATCCAAAGAAAATAGTGAATGCTTATAATTAAAGATATAATTTATAATTTAGATATTATTGTGGTGTTAAGGGAAGTATAGAATTTTATGGGGGATATGAATCTTAACAATTATGGATGAGTTATTTATCTTACAACAACATCCGTTCTCACCATATGTATGTATATTTAGTTTAGGTGTGTATAGGCCCTGTGTAACGATTAAAAGAAAATATGCAATGTTAATATATACAAAATAAATCTTTATATAACACATGACAAATTTTATATATATTAATCTAACACAATATAATAATACAGAAGGATAAAGTGAAAGTTGAATTTTCAAAAGTGAAAGTCCTGATGTATACAAGGCCTAGAGAAAGAGTCCGGGAGTAAGTAAATATATGTATGTATTCAAATTTAGTAGCTGTAACATGATCATTTGGTGAAGAAAGGTATGGTTGTTTTCAAATGTAGCAATGATGGTTTAGTCATGTAAAATCACCAGCTAATCATGCAAATGTCATTTTGACTCTGGTAATGTCTTGATGTCTGCAGCATGGATGAAATTATTTTATTGACTCTAGTTTTGGTTGATTTTCCATGTGTTTATATACACATCTATGGATATGCTTTGAAAAGATACTTGCTTCTCGTTGGCTTGTGGCCTTATATTCTGATGTGTAACCTTTGTGATTGGTTGGTTGAACTATTTTTAGAGATAGGGAAATTTTGATCTCCTTGATATTTCTTTTCTAACATCCTGGTTGTGAAAGCTTTCTGATTGTTTGGTAGAACTATGGCTTTGTTTGCCTGGCAATTTTTATTATCCATCTGTTTTTAGAGATGGTTGAATTTTTGTCTTGTCTATTTTTATTTATTTAATTCTCTATCACCACAATTTCATTAAAATTTTATTAAGATAATTAACTAGTATCTATTTTAATATTATTTTCTTTAAGTATTATCTTAACAGGATGATAAAAAGCTACATTTCGAATGAAATTGAATTATTAAAAATAGTTAAGAAATCCTTTAAAATACACTTTCAAAATTTTTGAAAGCATTTAAAAAAATTAAAAAAAATGTTATTCCTTGAATTCTTTTTTATAAAAAAGAAAGGAAATGCACTAAGAATATCTTTCAAATTTGTTTTTTAGCTTGTAACTGATGGACAAATGATTCCTGGAACTTGCAGCCAGTCATATGGTGGTGTGGGCTTCAATATTGCCAACTGCCTCGGTAAGTTGGGCTTGCCTAACCTCTTCATTTCGGCTGTTGGACAGGACCCAATTGGAACTCAGTTCCTAAAAAGCTTCAATCAAGTTGTAAGTTTGCAAGGATTTATTTTTAAATTACTGCATATAAAAAATATTTTTATTACTTTTCATAATATGAGTCTCTATTATTTTATAGGAAATTTCAATACATTTGAAATGACTTGAAAAAAGTTTATGTAACCACTATAATAAACAAGTGTAATGGTAATGGGTAAAATTAGTAGTTTCCATTCAGGAAACATGTGGCATTTTAGAAATTGACAAAACAGGGTTGAAATGTATAACCTTAGCATTTTATCATTTGAAGAAAGAAAATCTAAAATTAATGTGACATACTATTGTTTAACTGTATATTTTAATTAGTATTAAAATTTTCTTTCAGGATTTATCTGGAGTCCTACAAATCCCTGGACAATTGACAGCTTTGTACTGTGGTTTTCTTCAGCCTCATGGTCATCTCATCTTTGGAGTGGGTAATGCTGCAATTTTCGAATCTATTACAGTTCAACAGGTTAGAAATTCTCCTATGACCTTTATATGTATCAATTCATACACAAACTTTATTAGTAAATATTAAAGCTCTAAATTTTGGTGGTGTTGTTATAGACAAGCGTATGGTTGCAAGAAAGAAATCCGACAACAGCAGAAATAGATTTATGTAATTTATTTCAATAGGAACGTGTGGTTTTGGGATAGCTACCTTGTGGTATAGTTCATAGGCCGGCTGAAGATCTGGGTTGATCTCTCATAGTAGTTCTTGCTGATTGGCGTGTCGCTACTGCTGCTGACCGCTCAACCTGACCATGACAGGTCTCTTCCCTGGGCTCCTGTTGACTGCCTTTGTACTTCCATGTGACCCCTTTTATGGCGTTTTTTTATGGCTTTACAGGCTCGAAAAACGATGTGGGTATTAGGAAGGAAGCATTTTTATTGGTCGAAAAATAGAAACACTTTAAAATATTATTTTATTTTTCGACCGGAACTCTTGCGTCGGGAACATGTGTAAACGAAGATAATGGTCATTTTGTGATGGGGCTTTGTCCCGTTTGCATCCGGCTCTCGCTCTTGAGTATGTTAGTTTATTTGCCTGTAAATCAGCCGAGATATGTCTTATTTTATTTTATAACAGTGTTAAAAATTTTTGAAATCTTTTCCATCAGAGAATTTGGGAACATAAAGGATGAATAAATATTAAAATATTAACAAAATCAACCATATCTTATTCAAATATTAAGGTTATTTTCATTTTGCTTGTTTCATAGAAAGTATAAATAAAATTAAATGCAATATGGTTTCAAATGAGAGCAACTATAATTTCTATCAATTTTGTGTATTTGTGAAATACCAGGTAGCATAACATAAAAGAGTTAAGTATTTGTAAAGTTATTTCCCTTGTTTTGTAAGTGAATTCTGGCAATTTAATATTTATTTTTCAAGAATGTAAATAAAAAAAAAAAAGTAAGTTAAATTCAATCTCTTGTCTTAATAATCGCATATATCTTTAACGTTTGATGAATCTGCTACAAGCGACTTTGGACAATTTAAATATGTCCTTGTATATCCTCTGTAGTGTATATCTTTGGACAATATATAGAAAAGAAATGATAGACTTTTTAAATTTATTAATTACATATTTGCTTTAAAGTGTATTAGAAAGAATTTATGAAAAATATTTTCACTTTAAATTATGAATAGAGAATAAATCAAAATTTGATTCTGGTTTTACTATAAACAATAAGGATCAACCTAACTGACCAATATTAAATGAACTTATTTAAAAATGTTTAAAATAACTTGTAGTTAATATATAATTCCTTTAAGTAATAAAATTCATTATTAAAAAAAAAAAAATCACTTTTAAAATGTTAAAACTTTCTAAAATTGAAAAAATATTATACAAAACTGAAAATTTTGTAGCCCACTCTTTCAACACTAGTGACTCTAAATGGTTATAACAAAAATTGTATAAATATAAACTTTCACAATCAAATTCTGTTTTTCATCTCACCAATTTAATGCTAAGTCACTGATCCTTTGTAAACTAACCATTGTTGTTGAAAGTATTTGATAAGTTGATTTTTTTTTTTTTTTTTTTTTTTTTTTTTTTTTTAAATAAAATTCAGATATATTCAATGGAGAATTACTTCAAGAATGCACCATTGGTTTGCATTGATGCAAACTTGACTAGTGAAGTCATTTTAGCTGTATGTGAACTTTGCCAAAAACATGAGGTGCCAGGTGAGTTATCTTAAATTTTAAGCAATCCTCCTTTTTCAGTGTTGACCTTATACATTACAGGTAAAGAAAACTTCTCTAGACTCCATGTCTTCAGAAGTGATATTATTCCACTGTTACCTGAGAAAGGTGCAGATTAATTTCTAGTTTTAAGCTGCAAATTCCATTTGAAGAAGTGACATCATTAAAAATGTTTGTGTTATGAAGGAATTAATTGATAAACATAATCTTCAATCATATAAGATTACGATGAGTTTTAGAGATTGCTTTGTAACTATTTGAATTCAAAGGAGCTGTTTGATTTTTTTTTCTTTTTACTAATAGAAGGCCTGAGTGGTACTCAAGGTAGAGAATAATTTTGTTGTATGAGAGTAAGAAGAGGAAGTAAGAAGTGCAGTTTATGAGGTCATGTAGGAGATAACAGTTAATCCCAGGCACGAAGAGGTTAAGATTGTAGTGATCAGGAAAACATCTTCTTGGGAGTCTGTTCCACAAAGTAACAGTTCTTGAGAAGAGGCTGGAACTTCTTTCTTACTAATGGCATATCAAGAGAATGATAATGATTCATATTGGTGTACATGGTAGCATAGTGGGTTTTAGCTGCAAAGGTCAGGACTGGTGAAACTAAGAACATTTGCCATGGAAATAGCAATAAAGTAGCAAGAGGGTTTCAGCCCTTTGTGAGAAAGAGGTTGTAGGGTGGAAAATAATTAATCACTCACAAGGTCACGTAGACAATTTTGAACAACATCACCCCTTACATCTGGCCACCTAACTCACCACACTGCAACCCCCTTGATTATTATATTGGGGCACAGTTGAGCAAGCAACCAACAAAACTCCTTGTAACATCAAAAATAAACTAAAGGCAAAGATTATGGCAGCATTCACCAACTTAAATGAGGAGACTGTCCAGAAGAGTTGCAGAAAATTTCAAAGTCATCTGGAGGCCATGGTTGAAGCCAATGGCAATTTTTATTGAATAAACTTACTCTTTAGTATTTCAAGATGTTTTTGTATAATTTTGGTAAATATACCTGTTAAAATGAGATGTCAGTGTTATTTTAATTTTTGTGTAATTCAGACTACAATCTATCCATCACACCCTGTATATTAGTTCCACTAGACATTCAAGGTTAAGGAGCCTCTTTGAGAGAACAAATGTTCATCATAAGTGAAAGTTCACAGTCTGCTTGGTGATGGTGAAAATGTGTGTGTATATATATATATATATATATATATATATATATATATTTGAAAATTATAACATAAATATGTTATAAAATCACTACAAAAATATCCATTTTGTTTCAACACTTCTGGTGTTTTATCAAGTGATGGTTTTGAATGTAGAATAAAGAGTTAAAAAAAGAGGCTAATACAGCATCATTGCAACAGTGTCTTAGGAACTCCAGCTCTGGATTTGAATTCAGAGTTGTCCTTCCTCTAGTCTGGTTGCCAACCATGGCTACAGAACCCAGACTGCCCTACTATTTACCCATGTCTCCATATATATATATATATATATATATATATGTGTATACACAGGTATGTATATTTGAGAGAGTGCTGATGTAAACATTCTCTTTAGATTTTCATTGTTTTGCTACATTTTTTTCCTGGACAATATTTGCATACGTTACATTATCATAGATGAAGCACAAAGCAGTCACTGCACACCATCCTGGTAGATAATATGATACTTACCTAATCAAGCAATATTCCTTGCTTTGAAAGGTCAGAAAACTAATTCTAAATTGTACTCATTGCAACACGATTTTAAAGCAGAACACAGATCTTTACAGCCTTAGTCTCATGAGTGGCAGAGCATTTGTTAAAAGAAAACACCAAAAAAATCATTTAAACCGAGACAAATGTAAAATCCAGTTGTATCAATGCAGTTATTTTTGTGAAGGGTTTGTGAGACTAAGTTGCATTTGTCTTAGCTTATCAGAATTACAAAAAAATAAAGTAAAGAAAGAAAACAATTAAAAATGACTGCAATTATTAGGAAGTTTTAATAGCGAGATTCAATGAAAGAAAAATTTTGAAACAATATATTGCATATTCAATAAAGCAGAGATAAATAAATCACAACTAAAATAGAAGCCAATGAACAGTTTAATTAATCCATTATTTAGTTGATATTTTGTGGCACACTTAATAGGATCGCACAGCACCGTGGTTGAGAATCATTGTACTAGATGATCCAACCACTTTGTGATCCAGCAGTGAAAATTCTGTTATAGTTGAGTCCCTCCAGTTGACAATTGGTAACTGCGAAGTACTGGGTTATAGAAAATATTTATTGTTCAATAACCTACAGTGCAATTTTATAGAATATTTAAAGGATATGTATATATGTTTGTTGAGATTAATTTGCAGTGAAATAAAATTGAATCTTCTTACCAACTTCATATTTTTAAAGAAAGCATGATGCCAATTTGATAGAAACATTTACATCATTTTAGTGTAGTTCAAGTTAGCATAAAAGATATTCATAGTACAACTACTATGCTAATTCTATGTCTCTGATGACAAATATTATTACTACAGTATAAACTCCATTCTTGAATATTTACAAAGTTTCTGTCTAAATTTCTGAGATGAGGTGCTATTATTATTTACAAATTTTGTTACAATTCATGCAGAAGCTATGATAGTTGAGAAATGATCACTCTTGGCTGGGTCCATGAGAAAGAAATTCTGATGTCATGGAGGCCCGAAACTTCCTATGACCCCATAATAGACATCACTGAGGAACCATTCTGGTGTGCAATATATGCCTATAAAAGAAAAAGAAAAAGAAAACATTATATGTAGACTATTGTCCTCATCTTTGTTGTTGTTATCATAACATTTTGGCTGTTGCCCCCTTTGGCATTCATCAGGTTGATTCCCTCTAGATTATCTGCACCGACATATGCCTGATGAAGGTTAGTGAGAACAATAGCTGAAATGTTGTCACAACAAAAAAGATATGGACAATAGTCTGCATGTAAATAGTGTAAATAATAATTTACAGTTTTTTGGGGTTTTTTTTCTTATTACCAGGTAAAAATGATTTCTTCATCTGAAAATTTCTCCTTAAAATTTTCTCCAAAGTATGGATTTATTCACCTTGTATTTTCTTTCATATTTCAGTTTGGTTTGAGCCCACTGAGAATGTCAAAGCAAGCATTCCTTTCCAGTCTTCAGCAGGCAGCATGTTCACATACATATCTCCAAATGAGTTAGAATTCCAGGAGATTCACAAGATAGTCACTGGAGCCAAAACAGAATCTCTTTTGAAAACTGGTAAAATATTTCTATGAATTTTCTTTTTAGTATGTTTTGTCTGCAGATTGGAAATTAAAAATGTTAATTCTCATGATATTTTGAGGGCTTGTTTTTGACAAGGGCCTGAAGTTGAATCCATAAATCAGATATGTGAGATTGTCTTTCATCAATTACCTTCAGTCTTTGGATTATGAGAAGGTATGTAATCAAAGTCCATTTGGCAAGATATTTTGTTAAATGAAGAATCTTTCTATGATGTCACTAATTTACACACATAAAGGAATGAAAGAATCATAAAAAGATTTGAAGGGATATTCTCTCCCTCCTAAACTTTTTCTATTTTATTTCTCTCAAGAAGAAATGATATTTTAGTTTGGTTTCTTTGTAAGTACCAAATTAGTAGATAATTTAATTTCCACACCAAAAACTTATTGCTGACAGTAGAAAGTGTAATGACAGAAATTACATGCATAATTGTTTCACTTTTCAAAATTATAAGTGTTTACTTATCAAGAAACTTTCCAGGATGTCACTAATTTAAACAGAAACAGGATGAACTCCATAAATGAAAAAATTTGCCTAGTTTGAACTCCTCCACAAACCTGTTATTTTAGGCAAGTGGTTATCTGTTCTAGGTCATATTTCTTTTCCTGTGATTTAGTTTCTTCAATCCCTCCTTATTTTGTCATCTAGTTCCAGTTTCTTCATTTCCTCCCTATTTTGAATTGTTTTCTTCACAGTATGAAATTCAGAGTTTTCTAAGAGGGAAAACACTGAATTCCATGAAAAAGCCAACAGGGAAACCATTCTTCTATTTTTCGCAATTTTTACATAAGACATGGCAATTCACAAATAATAAAGAAAAGCAATCTGTAAAGAGCTATAATTGCCAATGTCCTGAAGCATCATGACATTTAAAAAAATATGTTCCTATTTGTAGTGGTATGAAACTAAATTGTTTTATTAATTGCAATCAAATGGGGGGTAAAAAAAAGAAATACTTATTTCAATGGATCATAAAACTTTAATTTAATGCCAAATTCTTACTTCTTAGATTTGAAATTCTTTTCCTTGGAGCCAAGTGTCTCCTATTTGAGAATCACTAGCTTAGACATATTCTTTTTTATTCTCCTTGCTATGGTGAAAGCTGGCTATTTTATCATTCAGCAAATAATGATAGAGAGATTATTTTCAGCATTTGTATAAAAAACAAAAACCAGTACATATCCATTGTCTGCAAGAAAAGCATTTCTAAATCTTGATACATAGCAATTGTAACCAAATGAAATTCCTTTTGATGCGTGCTGTGAAAAAGCAGCAAAGGAGAAAATTGCTGCTAATCCTTACATCATATCTTTTGCCAGAAAAATGTGTCAAATGTTATTCATCTCCTCTCTTTGAACAGATCTTTTAAGACCATGGGGTGAAAAATTACAGCATAAGCAAAAAAGTTGACAAATTGTTATAACACACTTCATAGTGTTTATAATATAAGTAATACTTCAGCAACTTGCCATGATGCCTGTATTAATTAGTTTGAAGACTGACTCCAAATGGTTTCTTCTTCATTACCTCTGACCTGGAGCTCTTATATTTATGGACTAGTTCATATAGTCACCAGAGGTGTATTATTTACTCCACAACACAGATAAAATATATGAAATACATGCATTGAATATTGCTATCATATCTGGTCTGTTGCTTTTGCTATGTATTTAGAGACTCTTGATAAAATCTGCAATGTTATTGATCCTGGCCTGGCATCACAGCTTCAGTCACCATTACTGTAATGTAGTTTCCTTGTGCTTTTTCTCTCAACATTTTCATTTTTACTAATATTTTTCTGATGAGCTTTCCTCTTTGATACCTAAATTTTACGAATTTAAGCAGAGTGCTATAATTGGTAATTAGGTATCATCATTTTACAGTTGAAATGGCTAGATGTAAACGTAAATTCTGTGCTAACAGTTTCTTCTCTTGCACTTCTCGTGGAACTCTCTTTCAGCTTCTTGCTTTCCAGACAACTTTGATCTTCAAAAACTTATACGCAGTGTTAATAATTATCTTTTGTTTTCGTAATTCCTGTTCTTTTATTGTTCTCTCTCCTTAATAATGTTTTTCTTATATTCTTTCACAATCAGTAACCCATTGCATCTTAGTGGCTTTATTGCCTTGCTTTGGGTTAAATAATTAAAAAAAAAAACAACCAACTACAGAATTACAGCAATCTAAATTAATGTTGCAATTAGCTTAAGAACAAAGACAACTATACAAACTAGTACATGACTTGTTTAAGAGAATGCTGATGATGATTTATAAATGTGAAACTGAAATAGTGGCTGTTGAATTGCTGAAATTGATAATTCATTTAGTGCCAAACTATCCAAGTGAAGGATATTAACCCTAGAAGACTAACCATGGGTATATAGTACCCAGCGCAAATTTTCCTATTTTTAATTACAATTTTCAGTACCTGATTTTCTTACCTAAATAATGTTTTTCAGTTCCTATTAATGTTAACTCAAAGTACAAAGTTTGAAGTGCCTGCATGTAAAATAGATCAAATAAAAATTTATATTTAATATTCTTTTTGATGCTTAGTAGTGGTGTAACTTTAATTGATGGTTAGTCTTCTAGGGTTAATAAACCTATGGTGACAGAGATTTATCTGGATATGTTGAGTAGTTATAGGTTGTAGATCCCAGAATTTATTCTGAAAAAGATGTAATGTTCTTTGGTTAAAGAAAACATTTAATGACATTTCATATCATTATGTGACAATTTCAGTCTGTAGTTAACTACAAATATATTTTCAGTTTACATGAATGCTCCTAAAAGTTAAAAAAAAAAAATGAAATATAAAGCAAAAGATCTTTTGGCATAAGATTGGCAATAAAAAATTCCAGGGTTTGATATGATGAAACATAAGACAAAAATATTCTCTGCTGAGTAAAATCAAATGTTATTCGGGTTGCCCCGAAGGTAATACCTCCTATTTTATTATGTTGTCCAGTGACATTAGTAGATGTTGGTGGTATGGCAGTTCTCACCAATAAGTTATAATTTGTCTTTTTAATGATAGCATCTGATATAAATGTGTATACAAAGTAGAGATGCATCAATGAAAATTTCCATGTGGTAAAAAATTGCACCCATTCATCAATTTTTGTTGAACATTTATTGAGACCAAAACAGTTTGAGCAATAGATATGTAGGACAAGCTAAGTTTTGGCCAATGAAAGATGAACTACATGGGCAACGTTTTCCTGAAAGTGCTACTGTTGATGTAAAAATGTAGAAAAATAGTGTTTTGTTACTGAAAGTTTGCTCTTCCCAACAATGTTATGCTCCCTATATTTGTTATAGCTTCTGAGGAAATGAAAAGGAAACATTACTTTTAAAGCATCCCTTGTAGTATGGGAAAAAGTGTTAAGTAAAAATATTCCTATTTCCACAATTCACATATTGATTGACAATATAATTGGGAATAAGTCACTGTTTGTATTGTCAAACATTTAGACATGCTTAAAATAACAGCAAAACTGAAATTAAAAAAAACAAAAAACAAATGTCTATCATTTACCCTGACAATATTAAATTTTTTCTTTCAGACTTAAACCAAAAAGAGAATGTGGATGCTGTTTTGAAGATGTATGCGATGATGTGTCGTGACCTTATTTCCCTGGTTCCAGTGATCATTGTGACTCTTGGAAAGCTTGGTGTGTTGATTGCACATTGTGATAAAACAGCTACACATTTACCTGTCAAAGGATCAAGAGTTTCTGTAAGTATCTGAAACTTTAAAATGGCATAACAAAATAAGTATTAGCTGCATAACTTAGATTCTTAATAACGTTATTTGCAATATACAAGATAAAAAAGTTTCTTTCTAAATATTATCAATAATGATTTTTCTTGAATATTACTATATTGATAATTACTTCATCTCTGTGACTTGTAAAATTAATGAACTTATTTGATGGTAAATAAGATGTACCTACCCACATTTTCAACTGAAAATGTCCACATATAAATTTCAGTCGCCAATTGTCCAGGTTAGAGATTTGTTTAGAGAGAGGTCTTACTTTTGCATATAGGAAACGAAGCAGTCCTTCCTTGTTTATCAAAGAAAATAAATAATTGTAGCTTTTGAAACCATTAAACATTGTATTTGACTATATAAGTTATGAATAAGTTTGTTTAAAAAAAAACAAACTTTGATATACAATTACAAAGAAAGAAAAATAGCATATATTCTTTTTAAATATGATATTGTGTGCATTTGTAGCATTAGAATTTATCTAAATTATTAATGCCCACTGTACAATCTGATATTAATCATAAAAATTATATTAAAAATCTAGTCTATAAGTTTCTAAAAAGAAAAAAAACAATAACCTATTAATGGGTTATAGGTAGAAAAATGGGACATGGGCTTTAATAATTCAATGGAATTTGCTGTTTGACTAATACCTAGTTTTATTCAAAAGTGGAGTAATGGATACCAGCTTAGATTGAGGAATCAGAAAGCCAATGTTGAATTCATTACATTCACTTATATGCAAATTCTCTATGGAAAAGAATGGATCCATCTCTTCTCCCTCCTGCTATGGGTAAATAGTGGACAGACTTAATCCTATAGCCTTGGGTTGGAATCAATCTAGGAGAAGGTCAACTCTGAATTCAAAAACCTCCAACTATGGGTTAAATAGCTTCACCAACCTGCAATTGGCTGGAGTATGGCTACACCACTGAAGACATTGTCAATCAGAGAGGGCTTCCCCAAAGTAGTGAGAAGGTCCTGGATTTGTTCTAGTGAGCTTTCATTCCTGGTACTATGTTGTTTTTTTTGTTTTTTTTAATCAAGAATTTCATTGTTTAATTTTTCTAATATCACTGCCAAATTAAATAATTATTTGGTTGATTCAAACATTTAAAGTTCTCAGTATTTCTTTTTAAAGAAATATTATGTTCAAAAGAAAGCTTGAAAAATAAAAGATTCTTATTTTAATTAAATGTCTCTTAAGAAATATTTTTCTTAATGTTATTTTTATTATATTTTCTATTAAAACTACGGTATTGATAAAATAGCTGAGAAATTTTCAAGTGGAGAAAAAGTTCTTATTTTCTGCAACGTAGTGTGAGTTTTTAAGGGCTGAAACCTTACAAACCATTACAATAACTAAAGATCATAAAAGTTGCATTTTCATTTCTCTGTTTATTAAAGGAAAATAAATGTCAGGCATTATGAAACCTAATTCAAAAGTTCTTTTCCTTTGATCGATTCTGAAAATTATAAAGTAGAATTTGTTTATTATTAAACTAAATGTTGACCCAATAACTTGGTTCATTTTTAATTCAGGTGTTCACTTTGGCTTTTTTATTCCCTTATCAAAACTTCCTATGGTAATAAATGACTTTGGGATATTTAAAAGTCAATCCTTAATGTTGACTAAGAAGTTAAATTCTGATTTCTAATTCCTTTATTTTTATGTCAGAATTTTTGAGATCAGAAATTATCATTATTATATGCTTTCTCATGTTGGTCAATACATTCAGATGAGCTCCATTTTTTAGTTCCACCAGTACAGATCTTTATAACTGGGACACACCATGTTATTTCCACAGAGTTGAATCACTCGTTTCCTCTGTTTTCCAAATATAAGGAGAAATTTGTACGCAGACAGCTTTTTCCCCAAGAACAGATTTCTATGTGGACGCTTCCCTGAACACTACAATCTTTAAGTCAATGGTCAATTGCCATCTATCCAACTTATCCTCATAATCTTCACTTCCTACCAACTCTTTTATTCTTATCACACTCCTCACTCATTCCAACCATGATGTCCTGCCAAATAAAATTTTGATTGGTCATATTTTGAGAAATGGGTTGGGCTATGAAGTTTTTAGCATTCCCTTATATATATTTGGTAATGGTAATAGTGAAGTCAGCCGTTTCCACACAGGAAACATTTGGCATTCATTGACCAAATAGCATTACTGCCAGTTGAAGTTTATAAAATTTTTTTTCTTAAAACAATTTATCAGGAAATTAGACTTCTCAAGTCCACTAACTGTCATAGCTCTTTCTAGTATTTATGGGAGCTTCATTCTAAATCTTTTGTTTTTAGTAATGTGGAAAGTTAACAGCTTAATTATATCATTATTTTCCCTTCTGGTTACGTGTGCTATCCATTTTTTGTTTATTGTTGTTGCTGCTGGAAGTGTTTAAAGTGTTAAAATGTTCAACTCTTTAAAGAGATTATTACTCTTGCATTTAACTTCTTTTTCTCTCCCCACCCCCTAAAAAATGTCACAAGAAATATCCCCTGGGTTTTATCCACAAAGTTGAGTTATAAACTAAGATACAGTAAAATAATATTCCCTGTAGAGAAGTGGATGAGTCAGGGGTTCATAAATGCCATGAATTATGTTAGGCTCATTTATTATTCCATCAAGTTAGCTTGGACATTCATGAGTCTATCACAGCAACCATCAAGGTCCTGCATTGAGGTTGGAAGGTCATTGGAGTAGCATTCTATGTCATAACATAATTGGTCAATGTGGGTGATTGCTTGGTGACTAAACCCATCTTACACCATGGCTAGATGTGCAAACTAGTAGATTACTTACAAGTTCTTGTTTTGCTTGCCAACAGTGTCCTGCAAAGTTCATTCTCTTTTCACATAAGATTGTAGAAATATCAGATATAGGTCCATAGAGCTGTGATTTAGTTGGATGTTACTTGCAAGAGATGTTAAGTATATCTCTCAGCATCTGAGTGTAGGTTCCATCAAGTTTAGACTCAAGGGTTTTAGTTAATGTCCAATTAGTGGCACCAGACATTAAAACAGCCTCTACAGTGCTGCAAAAGAATCTTCACTTGAAGTTTCCTGGTAGATTAGATTTCCAGATTACATCCATTTTATTCAAGGCAGCCCAGATTTTAGCTTTGTGAATTTTTTTTTTTTTTCAGTAGAATACTTTGCTTCCTAGGTATGTAATAGATTCAACAGATTTTTTATTCACCGAGACCATTTGTATTGCGGAAGATAAATGTTACACATTTACAATAGATAACTAAATTTACCTTTTCCATAAAAATTACATGTTTTTATGATTTATTCTTTCTTAAATTTATAATTTTTTTTCTTTATTAGAAACGACCTGAAGATATGGTTGCCAAATATTTTCCTGTTTATGGTCTGGAAAATGTCCACAGTGTATCTGGGTCAGGTGATTGGTGAGTCAGATTTTTATAATTTTTTTTCTTTTCTGTTGCACTCATCCATGTTTGCATGAAACAGATTGATCACATCATGGGAACAATAAAAAGGAATCACATTGTGCCACTAAGTTTATTTATCAAACTTTTTAAATAAAAAGAAAAGTATTCAAATATAAATAATGACCTAACAACAAGGAGTGGGGGTTGATAAATTCAGAAGATCAAAAGAAAAGTTTAAAACTAAGATAGCTTATCAACAGTAGTAATTTTTTTTTCAGATTTCAAGCTTAAACCCATAGAAATTCCTTACAATTTAAAAAAAACAAAACAAATTATTTTAATGATGAATAGTATTAATCATACTATACATAATGTAAAAAGTATAATTCATAATGGTTTCTATAATAAACAATAAACCTTGTTGAGTTTCCTAAATTGTTTGATTACATGAATAAACAGGACATGTTAATAGCTATGCATTTCTTCTTTGTTAACTCAATATTGATTTTACCTTGTTCATTAATTAAATATTAACTTCCTTCAGAATTACTTTCTTTTTTTTATGTTGCATTGTTTTTAGACAATGTATCTATATAGTCAGTTAATACTGTAAAAGTAATTTACCATATTAGTAAAATTTTGTCATCTTTCTCTGTATGCTTTGTGTTTAGGATGTGTGCAATCATGGCTCTCCATAAATTCATGTCTTATCACTTTCAACAGTACTTGCTTCTTTACCACACATATTTTGTTTTTGTTTGTTTCACCATCCTTTTTCTCAAATTCATCAAATACATTTCTTGTTGCCTTTCTCTGTTTCTCTTGCTTCTAATGTCTTAAGTCTTAAATTCTCCTAGCTTTCTTTTCTCATTAGATGTCTCAAAAATTTTGACTATTAGCAAATTTACAAGCCATTTCTTACTCTAATTAGAGGTCATTTTTCAAGAGCAGCTGCCAGTCTTACTTTGTCGGTCTTATTGGACTTACTATGAAGACAGGAGTAAATAGTTCTATCATCAGCAAAAATACCTATTTGGGAACTGATGACATCAGGAAGGTTGTTATGAAACAATGTAGGTCTAAGGATAGATCCCCAGAGGACTCCCATATTAATGTGAAATGATCTAGAAGTGTGGCGATTCAACACAACCTTCATTACACAATTGGATGTCAAAGAATTCCTTTTGTTGTATTTTATTGAATGCCTTTAAGCAATCTGAAATATAGACTTAGGTCTTTCTGCATTTCTCTTGTTCTTAGGCCAAGAACAGCATGAGTTTGTTTATTTCTGGTCTAATTTTGCTATAAACTTTATCCATTAGAATCCTAATTATCAGTTGCTTATCAAATTGATTTTTTTAATGCTGGATACATTCATTTGCACCCGATTTCTATGATAATTGATTTATTGATATCCTCCAATATTTCACTGCTTTCATATCACACTCATTTTCACTTTTCTAACTTTCCCAAACTGTCTTACCTGATTTGCTGATTTGTTCCTCCTTATCTTAGGCACTACTCACCTTTCCTCATGTTTTAGCCCATTATTCCCACCTGAAAATCCAGTATCAATTATAAAAATTAAAATAAAAGAGAAAGTATTTATTAATACAAAAATAAAACATTAATTATAGGTCTCTACATATAGCCCATTAATACTCACTGTCTCAAAAATAGAACAGTGAGAATTAGTAGATTATTTATATACTGTAAGTTTCCTTTTTATAATCAAAAAACTCTTATCATTCCACTATTGTAATAACTTTTCTTTTTCCATTATGATTCCCTGTTTACATTTTATTTAACCTACCAAACAACGTTTTCTTTCCTGTTATTTTTTTAAAATCTTTTTTACATACTTTTTATGTTTTTTTTTTTTTCTTTTTTATTGATTTCTGCACACTCCTCATTAGGCCATTCCTCTTTTTGCATAATCTCATATATTCTGTGCCATTGCTTCAGTTCATGTACTGTCTCTCTTCCTTTGTCATCCACTCTTTTTCCTCTTGTCTTTCTTTCTTCAAAATGACTTCTGCTGTTTCATTAGTGCTTCCCTTCAGGTGTTCCATTTTGAATCCATGATCTGTTCTAAAATTTCATATTTGTTTTTAACTGCATATGTTTGTTTGCAAATGGAGTTGCTGCTGAGATTTTCATATTGCAATTTACACAATTTTACTTTTAGTTTGCTTATAACTGAGAGGTAATCCCTTCCACAATCAACACATGGATGTGTTTGGGAGTACACTTGATAACTTATATTCAACAAATTATGTCATGAAAAAAAAATAGAGAGAGACACAGACATAAATTTCTTTTTTAAATAAGTTGATATATGCAAGTACATGAATATGTTTGTAGTCTAATGAGGAAAAAAAGTGTGTGTGTGTATATATATATAACATAACAAATATTGATTTTTAAACATAATTTTCTTCCTTGTTGATAAACTTCATTCAGTGGTGAATAGTAACAATACAGAACGAAACTCACCTCATAATTATGTTAGGCAACTGACTTATTGATCCATCCTTGTTTTATTTATTTATATATATATATATAAAATGTGTGTTTGTGTGTGTACACACACAAGATTTTGAATGTGAAAAAATTAAATAATCCTTTACTATAAAGCCAGTGCTTGTGTACTTGTATGTATATTTTGGTCAGCTCAGTGGCTGGATTCTGGCATTTTTTTCATGAAAATGAAATTTATATCACAAAAGCCATTCTCAATCTATAAACTTTAGTTTTTATTTTCACTTTCTTTTTAAAATTTTCATTATTTTTGGATTCTTTTCTTCTTAAATATCTTTGTGTTTATTGATTTATTGACTTATTCAATAATTTTTATCTCACATTTTCAAGAGACTTCAAGAAAAAAATAATCATCATATTTCTGCCCTGAATTATTCTTATTATTTACTTTCTTTTTTTTTTTTTAACCTTGATGGGTGAACAATGAATAACTAATTGATAATTCCTATGAAAAACAGTTGATAAAGATTTTCTTTTAAATAAATCCTTTTTTTCCAAATTCATCCAAATAAAGTAAATGGCCAACCAATATTTACTTATAAATTCAAGTATAATAAAAACAGATTTCCACATTAGCACAAGGGTCAATATGTTGTAAAATTCAACAATCCAATCCAACTATTCAAACATTTCCAATGGTAGTCAAATATAGCACACTGTAATAAGTACATCATTTAAAAATGTAGATACCTACTATAGAGCACTCTCATTATTATGGCTTTTTGCCAGGTTTAGCTAAACTTCTCAACATCTAAGATCTCTGCTGTCACTTGATAGCTAATTTGAGTAGGCATTAGCTATTAAAATTAATCTTCACTGAGGGCTCCACCCATTTTTATTGTACCAGAATTAACTTGGTATATATTTACTAAAGATAGCTATTTGAGATAGTTGGGATGAAAATAAAGTATGGTATATAAAAATTTTAAAATGCAAGTGCTGTGAGATTGTTAAAAACTAATATTATTATTCTGTTCTTTAGATACAAAATGTTTAATGACCACGCATAAATAAACAGCTTAAAGTAGAATTAGGTTTTCAAACAAATCTTTGTTCAGTTTTGTCTTAACAATCTTTTAAAAATTTTGTTTAATTTTGTATCTTTTCAGTTTTGCAGCTGGGCTGTTAGCAGGCATCCTTCATGGTCATCCGCTCGAAGTGTGTGTGAAACTTGGGCTTCTGACGGCTAATCTCTCACTTCTCTCTACAGACACAGTCCCTGACACTATCAAACCCATTTGCTGCACCCCACTACACATTTCTCAATCTTACAAAGCCCCTCCTCCACGAATCATAGAAATATGACAAGTATTTTTAGGAATATTTTTTAATCATAACCTTTCTACTTGAAAATAAAATATTTTAAACATTGAATCAACATAAAATGCAGATAACAAATTTTTATATCACATGTTGATTCTTCTTCTGTTGGTTTTGTCTTTTCAAGACTTCCTGTCCTTTGTAGCTCCTAATAATGTTTGTCTTTTTGCTATCTCTCCTATTATGCCAACCAATTACACAAGCCTGACAGGTAAATTATTAAACTACTTTCTTCTTGCCTTCAGTATGCCCTGTGACTCAAATTTCTCAAGCTCTCTTTCCTCATGATGTGCCCTAGAAATTATCTCAAGGAGTCCATTGAACATTTATTAATTTACTGAATACATGTGTGTGTGACGTGGTGTAATGTATAATGGGTCAAAATGAAAAATCGGAGTGCTTAGTTTGAATTCCAGTCAAGTTTATTAGTCACTTACATGCAGATATCCTTAAGAAAGGTATGAATCCATCTCCTCTCCCCCACCCTAGGTTGAATAGCAGGACAGATTGGGATCAATAGACTTGGCTAGTAACCAGTCTACCACAGAAAGACACAGCAATCTATTGTGGAAAATCTTCTGCCTAGTCAGTCATGAATTGAAAGTGACATAATCACCCAAGCATGTATGACATATGGCACTTGACTCTCTCTCTCTCTCTCTATATATATATATATATATATATATATATAAAAAGGAAGAGGTTACAACCAAAAACGTTTGTGGTATCTCTCTTCTTTTTAATATATATATATATATATATATACACACACACACACAAGAGAGTTGGAATTAAGGTTTGTAGTGTTTGGACATGTAATTTTTATATAGGATGGGAGGTGGAGGCAACTGGATATGGATGACCAAAAGTTATATAAGTGCCCCCACCTGAGAGGGAGAAAAGCCAGAATATATCAAATCCTGGTAAGAAGAAAATCCCATCACCAAAGCTAGACTGTGTGTGTGTGTGTGTATATATATATATATATGGTTTGCCAAAAAGTTTTTTCAGTTATTTAGAAAATTTGACCAAACCAATACATATTCTAAAAGGTGACATTTCAGTGCATCTTACTATATAATTAGTGTGTGGATTGTGAATTTAAATGTTTCTCTGTTAAAAATGAAAATAGAGGGAAATGAGATTCCTTTTTGTCATTTCGTGGTATTTTACTTCAAGAAAGAAAAAATGCTGTACAAACATATATATGATATACAGAGATGAAAAATTTCCCCAAAATCTGAGAAAATTTTAGAAATTTCAACCAACAAATGTTTATGAAACTTTTTAAATAAAGATATATTAAAAGAAAATTATAGAAAAAAATACCTGGAGAGAGAGAAAGTAGCTTTGAGTTTTCACAAACATCAGTATCATTCAAAACATCAGGGAAATAGAAAGAAAACTTCCTCACAAGCAGTTGAAATTGTTTTTGCTGGATGATTTCGAAGTGTGTTCTTGGTCTTTTAAAGAGAAGAGTACCAAATGGTTATGTCATGTCAAGCAATATAAGTCCTCCTATATGGCAATAAATGCTGGACAGTTTCATCACAGATGAAAGATGTTAAAAATACTATGAAATGAGCAATGACAAAGTTTTAGGGAAAATGGTAACAAAAAAAAAAAGATGCTTATATTTAAAATTAGAAAGAGACGATTGAAGTTTCTTGAGCACATAATGAGGGAAGAGGTTCTTGAAGAATTTGACACTCACAAGATATATTGAAGAGGAACAGAGGAAGCATTGAATAACCTACCTAGCAAGCTTATGCAAATAGTTGGTAGAACAAGGATTAGGAGGGATAGCAAAAAGATATGCGGTATTAAGAGCTACTGAGGACTGGAAGTTGTGGAGAGCCGTGATCGTTCATGTCTTGAAGGGACATGGTACATAGTAAAAAGGAAGTCCCAGGTCAGTTTGAATCAATCAAGCAAACATTTAAAGAAATATGACAACTTATGAGTTGCTCAACAAGTTCCAGCTTGATAGAATCAAGACAATGGATGAACCTTGAAGTGGACAACTATTGGACCTGCATAAATTATACCAAATCATGGAATTGAATCTATAATTAGATTGCTGTGACATTTCTCAAATTACACTGCACCCACCTGCTAAATCATGAATTATTTGGGCTGGAAAAAAAAATTGTTTCTAAATTGAAGAACTGTCTGTTAAAACCATTAACAGAGGACAAGCAAAATCAGTTTGGACATGTGTATTTCTCTAGTTTCTTTATGCACATGCATGGCTGGACAAATGGTCATTACATGATGATGAAAAATGTTGCTTAGAGATCAGTGTTTCTCAACCAGTGTTCACTGGGACACTAGGGGTTCTGCAAGAAATAGTGATAAATAGGCTAATATATTTTTGGGTAACTTTATATTTGTAATTTTACTATATATGTATGGCATATTGTTGGAAAATCCTTGGTTATTATAATAAAATATAAGAGATAAATATTAATGTATATAATAATTTTTATTCAAAGGTTCCCTGACATATGAAAATTCTTTCAAGGTTTTCACAAAGATAAAAAGATTGAGATATATGTGAATTGAATATGCCTCTTTTCCAAAAACAAAGTTGTATTAGGGAAAATGTCTTGCGTTTAATTTTTATTAGTTTTCTTCATCTTATCATCACTTTTTATTACAACATTCAAGATTAAATATGTTCCAATCCTTAATGTACAAAAGTAAATATAGTTATTTTTACATTCAGTTTTATAAGAACTGCGATGAATAAATACTGACTTATCATTTTCGATTTAATGAAGACATTTTCATTTTAGTTATATTTTTGCTTTCAATACAATAGATTTCAACAGCTGCACTACTATGTAATATCAATACTATATGGCAATAAATGCTGTGTAATTTCATTACAGATGAAGACTAGATCAAATGACAGATGTCATTTTATCAATGAATACTAAGAATACCATGGACAGAACATGTGCACAACAAGGAAGTTATAAAGAAAATGAGAACAAAAAGGGCACTTATACTAAGAGAACTAGAAGATCTGCTAGGATGTATTACAAGTGAACATAATCTTAATAACATAAGATACACAGATGGCAGAAAAACTGAAAGAACTATTAGATAATGTAGCAAAGGTAAGCAAGAAGAAAGAACTAATTATTAACTGTATGATGACAAAAGGAAACAGCCTAAGGATGTGGGCTAAAAATTGAGAATGTAAAAGTCAAGTAGGTATAGAAATGTAACTATCTGGATATTGTAGTATAAGATGATGGAAAATGTGATACTGAAATCTGAAGATATATGCAAATAACAAAATTAAGCAAAGTATTAATTAGAAACAAACAAAAGGAGGATTGTTAAATTGCTTGTAATATTTAATTTCCTATGTAGCAGTGAATACTGGACAATTTCTTCACAAATGAAGCAGAGATTGATGTGGTTCTACCAATGAATGCTAAGACAAGAAAGTTTTAAGGAAAATAACAAATTTATATTCACAATCAGAAAGAGTTGTAATTTCAAGGATACATAATGAGGAAGTAGGGCTTGGAGAATTTAACACTTACAAAACATATTAAAAGCAAAAGGGGCAGAGAGAAAGGGAGTAATCTACCTAAGAAGTTTATGTAAATGGATAGCAAAGCAGAGACTGAGAGGCATAGGAAGGGGATAAACCTTGCTAGAAAGTACAAGTTGTTGTGAGCTATTATCACCCATACCATAAATGGTCAAGACACACAATATTTTACCTTGCCTTCATATTGTTGCAGTGAAACCAGCTGCATTAGAAGATGGACCTGGAAGGTGGCATCATAGCAACCAAGTGTGGAATAGCTCCTCAAAGGATGTTAGCAGTTGTCCCCGCCTTGTAAACAGGTGGTCAACTCAACTCCACTGGGTACATGGGAGGTGGAAGCAACTGGATGACCAGAAGTTATATAACTGCCCCCCCACCAGAGAGAAAGAAAAACCAGAACATATCAAATCCATATAAGAATAAAATCTATGTTCAAATAAAGCCAGACACCTTGATGTAGATATTAATCAACAAATTTCAGAATTGAATAAATTAATTTTATGTATGAAAGATTTATTTGTATTATTCACATTTGAACTAATGTCCAAATCCTTGTTATTATCACAATGTTTTGGCCATTGTGCCCTTTAGCTTTCATCAGGGGCTTGTTGATTCAGATATCCTTCAAGGATTTTGAACTGAACCCTTTATTTAATCTATAGGGGTAAATTGTTCTCATTCCACTGTCCATCTCAAGGGATATCTTAACTTGTACGTATTTAAGTACTACTCAGTTATTGCTTGCTCTCTTTCCACTAAAAATGTATACTACCCAGCTAAGGGATTGAATTTAATGCTACTAAGTCACCAAATTCACAAACCAATACTTTAATTCACTGGTTTGTAAATTTGGTTCTACAGATGTGGACTCAGTGGAAACAGAGTGAGCAACAACTGAGCAGTACTAAATAGGAACCAAATGAGTTATCCCTAGAAATGGACAGTGGAACGAGAACAAATAACCCTTTTAGATTAAATAAAGCTTTCAGTTCGAAATTCCCTGAAAGTTACACAAATGAAGACACCTGATGATAGAGGACACAATGGGCAAAATATGATAACAACAAGATATTGATCCAAATGTAAGTAATGCTCATTCGTCTCAAATTTAGACAGAAATGAAAGATTTGTTATCACATTCTTATTAGCCTTTAAAATGATAACATTACACACTGCATGCAATGTGTGGCTGATGGAGTTGCCAAAGAAACATCACAATGTCAGATCACATGTTGCACAAATGTCCTGTGAAAAAAAATGTTTGCAGTTAGGAAGCAAGTAGCAGAACTTCCTTATCTCCACCACACTCAGTGCTTCCAATCAACACCATTTCCACTTGCTGAATGATTAAGATTTCTATGACATTAGAATGTCTTTGCAAATATTCCTTCTTTAAGAAATAGGTGTCATTTTATGAGAAAGGAATTTTTGATTTGCCTACACATTGACAGAAGTGATAAAAAATAGGGAATTGTTCTACAATTTCTATTGAGAAATAAAAATCAATCTTAATGACTTTACAATACATTTTAAATCGTTTTTTTACCACCACAATAAGTGTTCGTGTGCCATAAAACATCCATTTATTCTGATGAATTTGATAAAAGGTCATGCAGTCATATTTTTCAATAACATTACAGCAGGGTTATCAGTTTGAGTGACAAGTAGTAAACCGGGTTACATTTGAAAGTCCCATGCTACAAAATATTGAACTGATTTTCTTATTAGTAACCTAAAATGTCACAAATAGCAAAATTCATATTTAGTTGTGCTGCTAAACTTTCAAAATCAGCCCTATCTGGCAACTGTGCAATACAGTACCAACTATTTTACATCAATATACCAAGAGATTGGTACACATACTTGCTACTAAAATCTGTATTTAAATCTTGTTCCTTAGGTAGAATGTGTATTCTATTAGACACAAGAATCTATTAATGCAATTCTAGTTTTTGGCTTAAGACATTTGTATTATCTGTTATAAATAGAAACTGACTCCAGATATAAGAATTAGGTCAACTTTATTTTTGCCCACTGGCTATTATTCTTAGTGACAAGCTGTTTAAGAAATAATCAGCTCTATTCTATAAATAAACACTAGATTCTGCTAGTTTTCCCTTTTGTTCTCACAATGGGAATCAGCACAAACCGTTTTTCTTGTTGGACAAGTGAAGTTGCTTTTCCTTTGATTTTATATTTTTAGAAGAAATAATAAAATACATATGTATTAAATACAATGTGTGTTATATGTAAAATGAAGCCTTTTTATGTGGCCTCACTCACATACACACATTATTTATTTATATATATATATATATATATATATATATATATATATATATATATAATTCACAGATAATGATCCCAGGTGAAAGTGTTTCTCCATTTGTAAATAATCCTATCAGCTTTGACAGGTGCTAAGTCTGACACCAACAAAAATAATAATTTAAAAACAACAACACAAATAACTGATTCATAACATTGTTTTTTGTCACTATAAATCCGTATCTTCCTGGTGTGAATCTAAACTGATGCCTTTTTTTTGTCTATTGAGCTTAAAGTTCAGATAAAAATTTGAAAATTTTCCAAAATATTTCAATTTCCAAAATTCTAGCTTATAATCAGGATTTAGATATATGGGAAGTGGCAATAGTTTAAACTGACACGAAGATTATGTGTTATGGTTAAACTTTAGTCACAGAAAAGTGTAGTTAAAAAAAAATAATGACATTTACAATTTGTTTTCAATTAAGTCTTCCCTCGAGTTGAATATTTGCTAGTGGGTATCATCAATTCAGCAGTAGGAATAAAATTTCAATTGCTAATCTTCTCTAACCACTAAGCTACATATCTTCCACCCAAACAGAATTGATAATGATAGAGAATTATGAGTACAAAAACAGGTCGCATCTCTTTCATAGATCAGATAAGAGAGAAGTCACAAATTGATGTATTTTGGCAGTATAGTGACTTTGTGGTATAAATCTACCTGTTCTTCCTTCCAGCTATAGGTTAATTAGTAGGACTTGTATCAGTAAATCATTATTATCTCCAAAAAATTCTTACAATCTAAAAATATTTTCTTGCTTTAAATAACCTGCAAAAGGTTGATAAGCCATAAAAAACAGATCAATCAACCATAGTGACTTTGAAAATAGAATAATCAGGAAAGGTATGAACTCCATTCTCCTTTTGAGTTGTCCAATAATAACCTTAGTTGTTGCTGGCATAATGCAATGATAAAGAATTGATTCTTCGAAATAATGTTATAAAATTGAAATTATATTAATTATTTGATTATAAAATTACAAATTAATTTCAAAATCTGTTAAGAATAAACATGTTTTGAAACACACAATATTGGATTGTCTTTTCCAATAAAGTTTTATATTCTTTTCCACTGTTTCAATTGACATTTGTGGCTTATGGCTAGATCACATTGAAATACTGGTTCCCATATGGTCACCAAAGTTAAACAATGTTGAGCCTGGTCAGTACCTAGATTGGTGACTGCTTGGGAATACCAGGTGCTGTAAGCTTGGGTATACAGGTGGTGTATGTATAAAGACTCAGAATTGTTAATCAGAGAGCCAAATTCCAATTCCTGATGGGTTATATTTACTTACATGCAAATACCCCCCAGTTATAGGTTAATTAATAAAACTTGTATCACTAAACCATTATTATCTCAAGAAAAAAATTCTTGCAATCTAAAAATACTTTCAGGCTTTGAATAATCTGCAACAGGTTGATAAGTCATAAAAAAACTGAACAAATCACTCAAAATCTCTTGTTGGAGCCATGTTTCTTTTTAATTAGCCAACAGCTTAAGATTTTCAAGCATTCTCTGAAAACTAAGACTTATGCTGGTGTTTGTTTTAGAAATGCAAATTACAGTGTGGTTCCATAACTTATAGAATAAAAATTGTTTTGCATCATATCTGATGTGTTTATTTACTGAGGGAGGCACAGTGGATTAATGGATAAAGATTCAGAGTAAGGGATCAGAGAGCCAAGTTTGAATTCCAGTCAAATCCATTGCATTCACTTACATGCTAATACCCTTGGGAAAGGCATGAATCCTCTTCTCAACCAGCTATGGGTAAATATCAGAACAGACTGGGTTTTATAGCCTTGGATGGCAACTAGTCTACTACAGAAAGAAATGGCAGCCTACTGCAGGAAAAATCTGCCTTGTCAGTCATGTATCAAAAGATGCATGATTGCCTAAGCATGTATCACGTAAGGTACATAACTGACTCAATATCAAAAAAGTGGCTGAACATTATCTAAATGAAGTGATTCCAAAACTTTTGTCAGATAATGTATACTGAACTTAGCTTAGTAAATTATCAATCCTTGTGTCTAATGTATGGAAAACAGTTTAGAATCACTTGATATGATTATTTTAAGTATGGGAAGAGAAGAAATAATTAGCAAATTTTTTAATCTATCAATTGAAAATTTAATGATTCTATCTATGTACATTTTTTTCTTTTTGACCAAGGGAGTTTTTTTTTTTTTTTTCACAAAGTCTCACCCTGTACAAGGTCCGGGGGCCACTCGTGGTAGGTGGTTACAATAAGTGGTAGTTGATATGGATAGGAGGGGAAGATAATGGTTGAATCAAGACTTGAACAGGTTAAGATTGTAGTGACTGCGAATTTTTTCTAAGCTCTATACTAAACATTAAAACTGTTACGAAAAAAGAACTAAATAAAATGAAGACAAAACGATCAGCTTTAAAAAAGGACTCATAACTGGAAAAACCGAATGAAAAGAGAATGTTAACAACAAATACTTTTTCACATCCAACCCAGTTCTGCGGAATCAGAATCAACATTGAGTTTAAGCAAGTGAATGAGCCAATTGGAGTAAAGTGCCATGCAGATTTAAATTTTTCCTACTTGTGACGAATGCAGCTATCGATTGTTTTGCATGCTAGCATGCTAATTAACATTTGTGTCAGTCAGCTGTTGGCTCTCACGCTGGCCAATAGAATCTTCCTGTCTATTTGTGGCCAGTACAAAATGGCTGCTAACTACATGAAAACTGCCATAGAAGCATGAAAAAATCGATTATTTCCACTATCAATGTGAGTTGGGAAATGCAAAGTTGGTCTTGGCCTTCTTGCTAACTTGGAGCATGTGCATGTAAATTTTGGTGCAAATCCATTGAAAATTGTGGCTGTGCATTCGTTACACACACACACACACACATCCTGCCTTTTATAGATAGAGATTTAAAAGCAAGTTATTGTTAATCTTATCATATCTTATTTGTAAGCATATTTTTTTAACGTTTAGTGGTATCAAATTTATTTTGTTATATAATTAATATTTTCATTTTATAAAACTTGTTTTTCATCCTTCCATTAGTTTCACTTCATCTTTCTTATAACCTCATCTGGGTTGAATTTGTGTAATTTCTTTCCATTTAAGCCACACAACATTTGCTCTCCTCTTACAACCAATTGGGCAGTTTGTGTGGTCTGCTGTAAGTTGGCTCTCTATCAATTTTTCAACTGCTGTCTTCTTTGTATATTAAATTTTAAATTTTTAGGTCCAAAACTGAATACCATCCACCATTTCAGTTGAATAAAGCTAAAGCATTAGACATTAGTTGAAATACTTTATACTCATGAGTTAATTTTGGATTTCTCTGTTATGCAATATGTATATATATATACAAATTTTATGATATTAAAACAAAAACGTTTTTTTTTAAAAATCACTACACAATTACATTTCAACACTACAAATGTGTCCCCTCGGTTGATGTTAAACTACTCTAAATGGTAGTTTGACATTACTCAAGGAGACATATTTTAGTTTTGAAACATAATTGTAATTGTGTAATCATTTTTAACATGTTTTAATATCCTAAAATAAATAATATTTAATCCCTGGTCTCCATTGAGCTCTCTTTTAAACTAAATGGTACAGACAGTTGAATTATACTCCATTTGTCCTCATTTTGCCTGGATGGAGATACATATATATTAAATGTATAATGTACATTTACTAAATTCTCTAGCAATCCTGAACATGCTGGTTATTCTACAGATAATTCAGTTCCACTGTTTGAAGAAAAAACAAAAAAAAAAAAAATAACTTTAGTTTTGAATAACATTTTTCTTTGTAACATTTGTTTTTCTTTAATATCATTCTCTTCCAAATATCACTTTCTGAACCCCAATTATTTCCCTTCTTTTATTCCGGATGTGTCTGAAATTATGAACATGTATCATACATGTGCAAGTACTTTCTGATGGATATTGGTGATATAATGTGAAACCAGCGAGCCTAGTTCAAATTCTAGTGCTAGTCTGTTGCATTCACTGTTGCATGAAAAGGCATTCCTTTCTTTTCTCATCAGCTATGGTGGACTCAATAGCAAGGCAAACTGGGTTCACTAGTTTTAGGCGCCAACCAATCTAAGAGAAGGACAATTCAAAACAAGCATGAAAAGGAATCTTTTCTTAGGCTATCTTGCCCTAGCCAAACTCAATTCTGCAGAATAGAGCGCCTCTCACCCTTAATTGCTTACAGGAATCTTGATTCTACATGCTTTTGCTAGAACCTTACTACATGTAGTATATTTATAAATAGTAGTAATATTTTAAAAAAAAAAAAAATTCTGTTCCTAAGAGTTTTACTGAGATTTGGACGCATATATAGACTTGAGTTTATTTACTCGTCACAATCTACCTACAGAGCTTAGTTTTCCAAAGTAGGTGCCCAGTTGAGTGGTATCGAGCCTAATCAGTACTTAACTTCAGTGTTTAGATGAAAACAAATGCTTTTATCATGACTTAAGTGTAAGTCCCTGTTTATGTGCTTGAAATCAATTATTGATGAGGCAGCAGTTTCACCAGTTCCATAAGAACTGACCAATGGCTGCAGGCCATTTTGTCTTCATATTATTGACTGAAGACATTAATACTCAGTTGAGAACAAGTCAAAAATTCTTGGTGGTTAAGTGCTTTCACAGAACAGAAAGAAAACTTTATATCATAAAAAAGATATTGTATAATTTTACATTGAATAAGAAATCTTGTCTCTCAGAAATCTTTAAAACACAAGCAATGAAAACACAAGGCAGTTTTTAAAGTTGCTTACATTCTTATATATATATATATATAAGGACAATATGAATTAAGACAAAAAGTGAGAAAGTCCAACAGAGGATGAAACATGTTAGCTAAAATGTTTTCAATTTGGCTACATCTTAGTAAGTGGTAATTTGCAGGATCTTGCAGCTATTTTTTAAATTTGTTTCACATCATGTCAATGAAAAAAGTGGAATTTTCAAGTGTTAAACTCCAGACCATTATGCAGGAAGTTCCTATTCCTGCAGAAGAAAACTCCAAAAGAAATCCATGGGTGTATGTTGTAACCTAGAAAAGGTTACTGAATGAGGAATAATTGAAATGGAAGTTGGAAATGAAATGGTAATCTTTATAACATCAACAAAATACAATACTCGCCAGCAGCATGAAGTAGGTAAACCACTGCTAGTGGTGAACTATTAGACAGCAGGTTACCTCAACTTTCAATAGTGTCCAATGTATTTATGAGGATTGGGACATACCCATTAGTGTTCATAGGTATGGTATATAAAAGTGTATAATAAAAAAACATTGAGTGACAATTTCCTGTCATCATAAGCAACTCCAAAGTGGTATGACAACTTTTAACACTGAGATACCCAAGATTGTTCTAGTTATGAGTTCAATACCTGGCCACAGCATAGGTGAACAAAAACTTGGAAAGTTGGAATATTAAAGGGAAATAACTGTAATATCCAGAAAAGGTATGGCACGTGGAACTAGAAAAATCTACCCCGGCGAATGAAATAAAGAGTTTGGCTTGAATTTCCAATGTATATCACCTGAAGAAAGTCGGAACATACAACATTCTGAATATGACAATAAAAATGAGGACAACTGTCTGAAAAATGTAAATAGTGTAGATGGGGGAAGCTGTTGTGAATTTTTTCACTCCTGTCACCAACTATTGGGTTATGGTTAGTTGTCTTTCTGGTCATGGGCACCATATGTGATATTTCACTCAGTGAAAATTTTGCTCAATGATGCTTGTCCAAGTAGCAGCCAGTGGATTCAATCTGGAGATCAAAACTGATGTTCCTGTGTCCTGATTTATCCAAAAAAAAAAAAAAATAAAGTTTCACAGACCCAGCCAAATGTCCAGTGGAATTCCTATTGCACACACCAACCCCCTCCCCCCAAAAAAGGAAAATCGATTTTCTTCAGAAAACAAAAAAAATTGCTTTATTTTACATTAAATTCCACATGGCAGTTTTATTTAATGTCTATAAATTGGGAGTTAGAAATATACAGAAAAATAATAATTCTTGAAGCAAATAATATCTGTTGCAGTGCTAATTTTTCAAGCCTTTATCCTGGAATGAGAGAATAAATGGAGAGAAATTAAGTTGTTCTTCATAGATTAATATTTTCTTGGTAGGTAATTGTGTGTCCATTACAAATCTTGTTCATTCAGGAATTGTCCATG